TAACCTAATATACCCTAATATACCCTAATATACCCTAACATACCCTGACATACCCTAATATACCCAAATTTACCCAAATATACCCTAATATACCCGAATATACCCTAATATACCCTGACATACCCTAATATACCCTAAACCCTAAACCCTAAACCCTAAGCCCTAAACCCTGAACCCTAAACCCTAAACCCTAAACCCTGAACCCTGAACCCCAAGAACCCTGAACCCTGAACCCCAAGAACCCCAAGAACCCCAAGAACCCCAAGAACCCCAAGAACCCCAAGAACCCCAAGAACCCCAAAGCCTAGGATCCTGCAACCTCTAGGCCCGTACCCCCAAGTCTCCCGCCGAACTCGGTTTAGTGTTGAAGGGTTCAAGGGTTTCAGGATTAGGTATTTAGGGTTTAGGGTTGAGGCTTTAGGTTCAAGGGTTTGAGGGGATTAGGGTATTTAGGGTTCAAGGGTTTCGGGTTTTAGGATTTGGTTCGGGTTCAAGGGTTGCAGGGTTTAGGGTTTGAGGGGTTTAGGGTTTCCGGGTTCAAGGATTTAGGGTTTAAGGTTTTAGGGTCTCAGGGTTTAAGGGCTAGGTGGCTTTCGGGGGCTTTAGGGTTTTGGGGTGTTCTGCCTTAAGGGCTTTGAGGGGGCTTGGGGCTTCGGGTTTTCGAGTTCCGGTTTTTAGGGTTTAGGGTTTAAGGGTTAAGGGTTTAGGGTTTAGGGTTTGGGTTTAGGGTTTAGGGTTTAGGGTTTGGGGTGGGCAGAGGCTACTTGCTGCTGGGCTGCGACGGCGTTTGGGAGCGGTTTACGAACCAGCAGGTGGCGGACTTCCTGCTGAAAAGGCCCAGAGAGAGGGAGAGCCGGGCCACGTCTGTTGAGGAGTTTGGGTCGTTGGGGTTTAGGGTTTCGGGTTTACGGTTTAGGGTTTAGGGTTTAGGGTTAAGGATTTAGGATTTAGCGTTTTAGAGTTTAGGGTTTAGGGCTTAGGGTTTGGGATCCCTGAACCCTCTTATTTGGTTAAGGGATCGAGGGTTTAGGGCCAGGGTTAGGGTTCAAGTCCGAAACCCAAAGCCCTAAGGCGTGTAGGCCTCATTGACATGATGCAGAGGCTCCCATCTTCGCGTTCCATCTCCCAGGCGTGCGCCGAGTTTCTTGACAGCTGCTTGGCAGCGAACAGTCAGAACGGAGCGCAAGCCCTAAACCCTAAACCCTAAACCCTAAACCCTAAACCCTAAACCCTAAACCCTAAACCCTAAACCCTAAACCCTAAACCCTAAACCCTAAACCCTAACTACCCTAAACCCCTAAACCCTTAACCCTAACCCTAAACACTAAACCCTTATTTTTTTGAAACCCTAAACCCTAACCCTAAACCTAAACCCTAAACCCTAAACCCTAAACAACTAAACCCTAAACCCGTAAACCCTAAACCCATCCAGGAGCACAAAATGCAGGGCTGCGCTGTCTCGACAAACCCAAATCCACCACATTCCACCAATCCACTAATCACTCCAGACGACGAATTGCCCTAAACCCTAAACCCTGAACCCTGAACCCCAAACCCGAAACCCTAAACCCTAAACCCTAAACCCTATACCCTAGACCCTAAACCCTAAACCCTAAACCCTAAACCCTAAACCCTAAACCCTAAACCCTAAACCCTAAACCCTAGACCCTAGACCCTAAACCCTAAACCCTAAACCCTAAACCCTAAACCCTAAACCCTAAACCCTAAACCCTAAACCCTAAACCCTAAACCCATCCAGGAGCACAAAATGCAGGGCCGCGCTGTCTCGACAAACCCAAATCCACCACATTCCACCAATCCACCAATCACTCCAGACGACGAATTGCCCTAAACCCTAAACCCTGAACCCTGAACCCCAAACCCGAAACCCTAAACCCGAAACCCTAATCCCCTAAACCCCTAAACCCTAAACCCTAAACCCTAAACCCTAAACTACAGCGATGGCAAGTCCTGATTTCCTGCTTCAGCACGCTTCGGTTGGCAAGCTTGCGCTTTTCATTTACTTGGAGGTTCATGGGTAGTTATAACCACAAGGGTTTAGGGTTTAGGGTTTAGGGTTTAGGGATTATACATCTGCTTATAAGCTACTTAGGGGACTTAGGGGGCTCATAAGTACAGTTCTGATTGGGGTTGTAAGTACTCTGAAGCTCCAAGTAGTCAAAGAGTCTAGATGTTACAGACGTCCGGCAGGAATACACGCAACCCCTCTTAAGCATCTAATGTGGTATGGGGGGCCCGAACCAACTACAGCTATTCAAGGGTTTAAGGTGTAGGGTTTTGGCTGTGGGGCCTTCGCCCGGCCATATTTTGGCGTTTTCGGGTCTCTGGGCTTCGGGGTTATGGGGTTTGGTCGCCCTGCCGCAATTAAACTTGGGGACGACGTGTAGCAGCTTGACCGACCGCCGAGCTGGCTGAGGCAACTTGTCGAAAAATCCGATGAGGACGGCGCGTTCATCGAGCCCGACTTGAATGCTCAAGCTTATAAGGCTCCAAACCTTTGTAGCCCAAGCCGACATCTTGAAACCCAAACCTTGTAGACCTTATAAACTTGCGCCTCCCACCCCGCAGAAGCCAAGGCCAATGGCACTGGGGTTGGGTGCTTTGGGCCTTAGGGCGTTTGGGCTGGTCGGGAGTTGTTAAGCGTTTAGGGCTTTAGGGCTCAGAAAGTTGAGTGTAGGATTTTGAGGTCCAGTTCAGGCATTCCACAAGGTTCTAACACCGAGCCGATAAGATCTTGAGCATCCCACCACTCGCCAGCAACCGTTGAAGGTCCAGTCTTCTGGCTGGAGGCCTTGAGGGCGCAGTCTGAAATGTTGCCCCCCAAGAAAAACCCCAAAAAAGAAAGGAGCAAAAGCAACAACAGCAAACCGAAACCCACAAATCCCTAAGACCTTAGCCGTACAAGCACAGACCCTACCCCACGTGTCGGCCGGCAGGACGAATGGCCTCGGGTGTGACAACATGACGCTTCTTTGCAGGGGGCTTGGCATCCAGGTGTCAGAGTGCATGACTCTACACCCCTAAACCCCTAAACCCCTAAACCCCTAAACCCCTAAACCCCTAAACCCCTAAACCCCTAAACCCCTAAACCCCTAAACCCCTAAACCCCTAAACACCTAAACCCCTAAACCCCTAAACCCCTAAACCCCTAAACCCCTAAACCCCTAAACCCCTAAACCCCTAAACCCCTAAACCCCTAAACCCCTAAACCCCTAAACCCCTAAACCCCTAAACCCCTAAACCCCTAAACCCCTAAACCCTAAACCCTACACCCTGTTGAGGTAACCCAAATGAACCCCTCCGAAGTCAAAGAGAACTGCCGACCTGGAGGCTCAGAACTCACGTGGCTCCAGAGTTCCCATCGGGGGTCGCGGTAGTGCTTCGGGTTTAGGGTTTAGGGTTTAGGGTTTAGGGCTTAGGGTTTAAGGTGACATTGGAAACTCCCCCCGCATATTCTTTGGGGTTTAGGGTCTCAAGAATTCTCCCTAAAACCACAAACAACTTCGAAGTGATCGCCTGGGTGCCCCAAACTGGGGGACCCAGAGCTACGTCCCTAAACCCCTAATCCCTCAGACCCCAAACCCAACACCCCAAACTCCTAAATCCTCAAACCTAAAAAACCTAAACCCTAAACTCCTGAAGCAATTTTAACTTATCAAGCCCCAAACCCTAAACTCCTGAAACCCTACTACAAAAACCTAAACCCTAAACTCCTGAAACCCTATAAGACCCTAAACCCTAAACTCCTGAAACCCTGAACCCCCCCTGAATTTTCTCCTCTGCAGCCAAAACCTTTCCAGCTCTCCAGGCGTGGACCTGAATTCCGCTGCAGCTCCTGCTCCCAGGCGTCCTGGGGCGTCACGAAATTGGGGTTTAGGATTTAGGGTTTAGGATTTAGGGTTTAGGATTTGGGGTTTAGGGGTACCTAAGGGGTTTTAGGAGGTTTTAGGGGTTTAGGGGTTTCGGGGTTTTAGGGGTTTTTGGGGTTTTAGGGGTTTTGGGGGTTTTAGGGGTTTTCGGGGTTTTAGGGGTCTTGGGGTTTTAGGGGTTTAGGGGTTCACTGGTTTATGGTTTACTACGAAGGAGCTTTCAGGAAGTTGCCTTGACGAGTTTAGGCGTTCGGGCTTAGGGTCTAGGGTTTAGGGTTAAGGGTTCTAGCTTAAGTAAAGCTACGCGGCCTCTAAACCCTAAGCACGAATGAGGAAGTGTCGAATTCGCAAACCCTAAAAGGCGTACCGGAATCTCTGACGAGGATGCAGACAGGTTTGAGGGTTTAGGTTTTAGGATTTAGGGTTTGCTCGTGAGATTTAGCATGTGGGGGGCCATCGACTACGCTGCGCGCTATGATGCCCTGAACGTCGTCAACCTAGCGAGCTCTTGGTGCGGGAGGAAGCAGCTGTTGGCAGAGGCCCAAACCGTGGAGGTGCGCCTTTCGTATGAAGCGTCAGATTTTAGGGGTTTAGGGTTTGGGGTTTAGGGTTTAGGGCAAGACGTATTGACCCAGAGGGGCGTGGTCCCGAGCCTCGCGGAGCATGTGGCACGACGCATGCGTGAAGAGAGTCAGGCGCAGAAGGAGAAGCGCAAGATGCTTGAGAACAAGGGCAAAGGGCGTGGAAAAACACCTTACTCGCCCCCTCCGGCTCCAATGGACGGCGGGGGGGCCCTCCCGAAGAAGTGAGTGACCCATGATGTCCTGGGCAGGGAGGGCAGCTGGTAGTGTTGCTGGTTTCTATGGCGGACACTTCTAGTGTCACCAAACCCGAGTTATACCCCGAGCTCAAGCTTAAGCCCCAATTCGCGCCTGAGCCCGAAGCCCTACACTCCCAACAAAAGCCCTAAAGTCTATACCGTATACCCAGAAGCCTGCACCCTACTCTAAACCCTAAACCCTAAACCCTAAACCCTGAACCCTAAACCCTAAACCCTACAAACCCCATCCCTTGAATCGTGGTGCCTTAGGTCAGAGCCTGCCCCGGAGCAACCCATGTCCAGGTGGAGAGGGTTTATGGGGTTTAGGGTTAGGGTTTAGGGTTTAGGGTTTGGGGTTTAGGGTTTAGGGTTTAGGGTCTAGGGTTTGGGGTTTGGGGTTTAGGGTTCACGGTTTAGGGCTTATAGGGTGTAGGGTTTAGGGTTTATAGGGTGTAGGGTTTAGGGTTTATTATGTGTAGGGTTTAGGGTTTATAGGGTCCCCACCGAGTGCTGGGTTTCGGGTTCAGGATTTAGGGTGTATTTTTGGTTCAGAGGGTCTAGAGGTTTAGGGTTTAGAGTTCAGGGTTCGGGTTCAGGGTTTGTGGTTTGGAGTGTAGGTTTCAGTTCCTTATACTGGATTTGAGAGTATAGATTTCAACGTTTGGGGGTGGTTTTGGGGTGCTGCTGCATGGGGTCTCCGCTTCAATGAGGGACAAATCCCCCAAAACCTCCACAACCCTGAGCCCTAAACCCTAGGCCCTAAACCCCAAACCCAAAGCCCTAAAGCCCAAAGCCTAAAGCCTAAAGCCTAAAGCCTAAAGCCTAAGCCTAAAGCCTAAAGCCTAAAGCCTAAAGCCTAAAGCCTAAAGCCTAAAGCCTAAAGCCTAAAGCCTAAAGCCTAAAGCCTAAAGCCTTAAGCCTTAAGCCTTAAGCCTTAACGCCTAAAGCCTAAAGCCTAAAGCCTAAACCCTAGACCCTAAACCCTTCATTGCGAGGCCTCTCCGGGCAAAGAAGCCGCCGCGGCGAGTGGCGGCAGCCCGCATCCTGCTGTGCCTTGGCTGCTGGAGCCTGGTGTGGTTTTGGTGGTTTAGGGTTTAGGGTTTAGGGTTTAGGGTTTAGTAAACCCTAAACCCCCAACCCTAAATCCCTAAACCCTTGGCCCCAAGGCGCTAAACCCTTAAACCCCGGGCCCCAAGACGATCCAATTCTAACTGTACTTATGAGCACCCTAAGTAGGTTATAAGCAGATTTATCATCCCTAAACCCTAAACCCTAAACCCTAAACCCCAAACCCGAAACCCTAAACCCTAAACCCTAAACCCTAAACCCTTGTGGTTATACGTACCCATGAACCTCCGAGTAGGATGGCTGCAAGCACGTCTCAGGTTCTGCCGGAGCGCAGCCGGCCGCAAGCGGTCGATTCTTTTCGCGATGAGCAGGACGTCATGTCGTTTGTTTAGGGTTTCGGGTTTCGGGTTTAGGGTTTAGGGTTTAGGGTTTAGGGGTTAGGGGTTAGGGGTTTAGGGTTGTGTGATCCTCTACTCATGGCACCCCCCTGCAACTTTGAAGAAGCATCGGTCTTTGGATTGCTTCAACTTCAGCCTGACGCACTGTACCTGTGAGGACCCGTGCAATGAATGCCCGGCAGAAGGAAAAGAAAATGAGCTGCTCTTGCTTGACCAAGCATGTGCACGCAATATAGGGGCCCGAACAGTTGCTATCAGTATTCCCTTGCGGTCCTACTAACTATCCCTCCCCCCCCCAACACCTATTCTAATCATTCAGGCCAGGTGCTTCGGGCTTTTCTGCATGCACTGCCAGAGTGGCTATGTTGCGCCGCCGCCGCTGCCTGCCATTTGGCCCGAAAGAACTCCAAATCAAGCTCGCCTCAGGATCCGTCCTCCCTCGCCCTGTGGTGGCGATTTCAACGTTCTACGTTACGCCCCTCGGCCTCAAGAGAAAGGGGTTTCATGCTGCTTCTCTCCCCTCTGCTCCGAGGTTCTCTTGTGCACCTTGCTCTACTAAGGTCCGTCTCTGATCTGGACAAACCCTAAAGTCCAGCGATTCCATGGAGTCTGTCATCGAACTCGCCTATGAAGGCCAGGTGGGGCTGTACCTACAACTCTATCACCTTATCAGTATTGGGGTTCCTCTCATTTCATATCAAGGGACCTAAAAGCACTTCATAATTGTTGGGGTTCCTCTAATTTCATAATAAGGGAGCTCAAAGTCAAACTTTTATTGGGGGGCTAAAGAGCCACCAAGAAGGTCTCTACATGCTGCGCATTGAGCGGGTTTAGGGTTTAGGGTTTAGGGTTTAGGGTTTAGGGTTTAGGGTTTAGGGTTTAGGGTTCCTCTAATTTCACATCAAGAGAGCCACCCAAGAAGGTCTCTACATGCTGCGCATCGAGCTTGCCTTCCTTGTGGTCTTCGGCTTCCTTTGGGTTGCCGGCCGCGTGGTGGGCACCTCCAAGCGGGCCCAGCCCGGAAACCCTAAGGGCAGTGGCCGCAACTTAGGAGCTGAGTGAGTACACTTTGCACTTTTTGGGATACTTTAATCCCCAACAGAACTTGTTTAGGGTTTAGGGTTTAGGGTTTAGGGTTTAGGGTTTAGGGCTTCTGAACTCAGCAACTAAGGCAAAGCTGCGCCCCCATCGCGCCGGCCTGGGCTCACCCAACGCCGGCCGGCCTCCGGGGACGAGGTCCAGAACCTCTCCGTCTCCACCGTGGACCCCAAGAAGTTGCAGACTCTTAGGAGCTGAATGAGTGCACTCTACACTTTTTGGGATACTCTACTCCCTATTTGGGGTACTATACTCCCTATTTGGGATCCTGTATTCCCTATTTGGGATACTCTACTCCCTATTTGGGGCTTATGAGCTCAGCAACTAAACCCTAAACCCTAAACCCTATGCGGAGCTGCAATTGGTATTGTAGAAAGGAGTTAGTGTTGGAAGTTGGAAGGGTTAATGAACCCGGTAATCGTATTTGGCTCAAGATGGGCTTGAACAGAAAGCCACAAGTTCAAAAAGAAGTGCCTGGGTTCTTAGGGTTTGGTAAGGGTGTGGATTCCTTCCCCCTTTCCTTCCCCCCTGGGTTGCTCTTATCCGTGTTCTTGTTTGTTTCTTGGTTCGATCTGGGAAATATAAGTTCAGGGCGATTAGGGGAGTTGATTTCCTTCCTTGGTTGTCCCCCCGTAGGTTATGAGCCCAACTTAGGTTCCCTGCGGTTAAGTGTTCTTTCAAGGTTTTGGGATCAAGAAGCAATGCCTTCTCCGAAGCGATGGCTCCAACTTGCCTCGGATGGTGGACAAGATGGTGGAGCTGGAAATGGTGCAGCTGAGTATCTGGGTGAAAGATCGGTGTTGGAAGAGGTGATTCCCGACGCTGAAGTACATCTGGAAGAGGCCTTGGTTGCAGAAAGCCCCAATGCGGGTATGAATCCCAATAGGGATATGGTTAGCAATGCTGAAGCTGAAGGACGTGCTGTTTCTGTACCGCCAAAGCCTGGTGAAAAAAGGAACTGGGATGCGACTGGTGGCATAGATCGTGAAATGGAGGTGACTGTTTTACGAGTGTTACGCAAACACGGGTACCAGCCGTCGTCTTCGACTTCGGGTCGAATGGTAGACCAAGAGTCTCAGACCGATCTGATTGGAGAAGTGCTACAAGCGACCAGGAGGCCGTTGAACAAGATCAAAAAGGGTCCATCTTCGAGTTCCCAAGGTGGTGGAAGCGGTCACAAACAGAAGGGTGCGGACGGCTTTGAAGCTGCACCTGCTGCTGAATACGCCATGGGGGAGGAGGAGATCCTACAGATGGAGGCTGAACGGTTGCGACAGCTGTCGGAAGAAGAGGACGAGATGCGACAGGTTTCTGAAAGGGACGGTTTTCGGAAAGACGAGCATCTGATCCAAGCGTGTGATGGCACAATGTGGGAATTGCACCTCCATGAAGATGGGAGACAATATTATTACTGCATGGATACGCACGAAACCAAGTGGACATTGCCGGTGGTAGGTGAAAAGGTGAAGAGTGACGAGGTGGTTGGGTCTCCTTTGGGCAATGAGCTGGAAATGGAGGCGGCACTGGATTCTTCATCCTCTACTCCGAAGACTGAGTCTACGAGGGCATTCCAGGGTAGTGTAAATAGTTTAGGTGAAAAAGATTTTTCCTCTACTATCAGGGATAGCGGTCCTAGGGCTGATGGTGACGCCCCGACCCCGGGTTCTCCTGATGAGGAAGGGATTCCTGGGAACCAAGCCAACATCGCTGGAGCTCAACACCTGGATCGGGAAGAAACAGAAGCGCTTTCTGAGGGTGGGGCAGCGATGGAATTGGTGGATCCAGAAGAGAAAGTGCCCAATGAGGTGATCGGAACTGTGTCGGCTGCAGAAGAGCGAGTGGTGGATGTGGTACCTGTTGTTCAGGAAGGTGGTCCTGGAGATTCGGAGGATGGAGAGAAAAAGTTGTGTGTTACGACTGAGGAGGTCTCTTCGTTTGGTGCCAAGAATTCTGCCATTCAAGGGGAAAAAGAAGCTTCTGGAATAGCTGGAGAAACGGATGATCTGAAAAATGAGGCCTGGAGCGCCAATGATGCGCGGGTTGATGCGCCAGATATTACCTGGAGTGCGAAGGAAGCACGGGTTGAGGTGCATGTGGTGGTACGTTCCACGGGCGACTGCAACAATGGGGCGCAGGTCTCCGCAGCAGCTGATGATGGAGGTTCACAGGTGGACGCACTGGTGCAACCTGAAGTTAGCAGCGAGGAACGAAATGACAAGGGCTACACCGGAGCCAATGAGGCAGCTGTGGTCAATGATGGTGGAAATTCTCCTTTGGAGGCCATGGAACCAAAGGAGCCTGCGGTGGAAGAAAGCGTGCCTGCCGTGGATGATCGACTCAATTGCCCTGCAGTGGAAGAAGATTTGCCTGCTGCAGAAGGTGAGACAAAGGACGCCAATGATGGGTCCACTCCCATGAAGGGAGAAGCGTTGCCGTCTGGAAGTTCACCGGAAGTCGACACCGAGCGAACTACAGCAGATGAGGCAAAGCCGTTGGCGGAGAAAAAGGGAGGTCCTGAAATCCAGGAGCACAAAAAAGATGAGCTTGTGGGACTCGTGGAGCAGGACGAGCAGTGTGACCCAAAGGTGAAGACAAAGGATGCGCCAGGAGCCGATGATACAGAGATGGTTTCTGAAGAGCGTGTAAAGAAAGTGCCCCGAGCGGGAGCCTTGGAGTCACCTGGGCCACATTGCTATCAAGAGGGAGATGAGATCATGGGTCTGGTGCGCTGCATCAATGGGTATGGAGCCTTTTTGGACCATGGGGATATGAATGTATTGATTCCTGCAGAAGGGAACAATGCATATCAGTTCAAGTTTGGTGATACTGTCAATGGAACAGTGAAACGAGTGGAAGATGATGGTACCATAATCTTGGACACCTTTCTGGTTTTGGAAGAGGACGTGGAGGACTCTTCTTCGACGCTGCGGAAGTGGAAACCCAGCGGCTGGAGTACGTGGTGGACGGATTCATGGTATGCTGGTCAATGGTACCAAGATTCCAACGGTCAATGGGACTGGAAACAGGAGGAAGAGCAATCCGATGAAGAGCTTGTGGTACAGGAGTTGTCTTCTGAAGAACGAAAAGAAAGGCAACTTTATGGAGAAAAGATCTACAAAGCTCTTCTGGAGAATGGAAATGAAGAGGAAGCCTATGTTGGCAAAATTACTGGGATGCTGTTAGGTCGGCCGATGGAAGATTTACAGGAGTGTGTTGCGGATCAGGCATTCCTCAATGCGGAAGCTCGGCGCGCGTATGGCATCTTGCAAAATGATGGTTGGAAGCCTGATGGTACAGAAAGCACAGGCTTGGGGAAGTTAACCACTTTTTCCCGAAAACAGTACCACAACGCGCTTTTCGAACTGGCATGCAGAAAAAGGAGATTTTCTCGACCAGTTGTGGGTGAAGCGGTGGCAACGGTGCTGAATCAAGGGGAAGATGAGTTTTGGAACGCGCTTTGGTTGGACACCAAGCTATTTTTGCAGGAGCTTGATGGTGCAGTGCAATCCATGAGCAAAAGGGAGAACAAGCCAATGGAAGCCTACATGGATCCTGAACAGTACAAAAAGGCTTACATGACACCAAAGACGGCGTTGTCACCTGGTTACAGCAAGCTGTGCAGGTTCTTCAATAAGGGAAGGTGTCGCAATGGCGATGGGTGTCCCTATGAGCATCGTCGGTACGGTGAAGGTTGGCCAGAAGGGGGGTCAACTGATCCAAAGAATAGCCAAGAAGCTGATGATGAGGACGGGAACATCGGTGACCCTCCCACAGAGGAAGGTACAGTGGATGAGGCACAGCAGGAGCGGGAGGATTTAGCCTTCCGGGCCAAGTACAATTTTGGCAAAGGTGCATCAAAGGGTGAGCCTACGTCAGGTGAGCCAAAAGGTCGGCTGTGTCTGTATTACAATCAAGGTGGTTGTAAATATGGGACTGCATGCAGGTACCTTCACAACGATGATGTAGCATTGGAAGGGACTTGGGAGCCCGGCAAAGCTTGGGACAATGCTTCCAGGAAGTCACTAAGGGACGCAGGGTTCCACCATTGCTGTTTCGATTATTACCTCAGAGGACGTTGCCGGAAAGGGTTAAATTTCTGCAAGTACTCCCATGACGAGATGTCAGAGGAGCGGTTGTCGCTCCTGAAACACTTGGTACAGGTGGCCAATCAGGTCCGGTTTGAAAAAGAGAGAGGATGGGAGCTTACGGATAGAAGCACTTTTCAGCCACCTGCGAGTGGGGGAGCTGAATCTTCCTCATCCTCGGCACCAAAAGCGCTGCAAATGACCAATGTGTCACAAAAAGATGGTGAAAAAGGTATTCTGGATGAAGTAGAAGCTGATGAGCAAAAGAATTCGGTGGCTGCATCCACTAGTACTCAGCTTCACAATCCGGAGGAGCCGATTGAAAATTGGATGGCTCGCAACGCACACCTGTGGGTGTATACCCCTCATGTAAGTGAGGTGATGATTACGCTTGGTGTGACCAATGTGTCGGACTTGCAAGAGTTCATCTTTGTGGAAGATTTGGTTGACAAAGGGATCAACAAAGTGACCGCATGCAAAATTCTGCAATTGGTGGGTGAGGTCCGATATCGACCGGGAGGACCGGAAAAGGCAGTTCCGTCTGATGCATCTGTACGGGTACAACAATCTTCTGGGAACAAAGGGACTGGAAGAGCGGCGGTGCGAACCCTCACTCAGGTGCGTGAAGCTGAAGACTCCGGTGCAAAAACTATGCCGAGAGGTTCCTATCGGGAGCTTTTTGATAAGGTCAGGTACCGTGATGGTTGGACGCTTGCGCAGAGGTCTCCGTTGTGCGTACAGAAGCTGCGGTTGGTGGGAGTTGGAATGCCGCCGGTGAATCCACCAACGAAAAAGTATCGGTCAAGATCAAACCCTGTAAGAAGGGGAAGGCCCTTGCTGGACAAAAAACAGGTGCGACAGGTGCCACGATCTCGGTCACAACGACGAGTGCAACTGGCGGAAGTGGTGGAAAAACCGAAGCCACTGGAGCCGGTGAAACCTCGTGGTGGTTTGTCGTATCCATTCAGCAGAGCGTGGGCAGATGTGGTGGATGATGATGACCAGGCGGAGGCTTTGGTCTCGTATGCCGCTTCCTCAAGCGATTCAAGCGAGGAGGAGACCAATGCGGTACAACGCCTGAAGGAACTCTTTTTGCAAGAAAGGGATTCGTGGAGAACTGCGAGTCGTGGCAATGTTCCACAAAGTGGTTCTTCAGGCTCCAATGCTGGGCCGAAAAAATCGGTTCACCTTGGCGAAGGGCGCGACAAAGCGTCGCGGGGGGAGACCCGCCAAGAAGTGACTTCTCAAGTTTTTTCGCTACCACAACCTTCTCGTCGAGCTGAACGGTCTCAAAAAAGAACAAGGGATGGTTCAGTTATGGTTGGTTCGCTGGCGGTGGGCTCCACGGATGAGGTTTTACCTGGGCTCAAGTTCTTCCTGGGCATGAAGTGGCTGGACAGGAGACGGCGCCGGAAGGAGCAGTACAGATTTCTGGCGAGGAGACCGACCAAAAAGAAGGAGAAGGCGGGAGCAATGATCTCCGTGGTAATGATGCGAAGATGTTGGATGGTGGTCCGGTGAGGAGTGACCTTCAGCAATTGCTGGTGAAAGGCCTTCTGACTCGAATTTATTGGAAGGTTGCAGTTGGCAAGTTGCCAATGGGGCAAAGAGATTGCCAAAAAGGGTCCAATAAGATGGATCGAAATTTGGTTATTAGCATGTCATCCGAGGGTGCAAGCGAACAGGATGAGAACCTGGCACTGGAGGACGATGCTGATCAGTCAATGGGAGACGGTGCAATGGTTATGGTGTATGATCCAGGAACGCTGATCCAGTCGCCAACAACTGATTGGGTTATGCGTCGCGGTCTGACCGATCGTACCGTCTGGCCAGCAATGGCGCACCTGGCACAGAGGATATGTGCTGAAATGGTTCAAGTGGATGAAATGAATGCCCAGCTAGGGACTGGAACACTCCTTTTTCAAAGGAGAGATCAAGGACATTATACTGACCTGCATCATTCGTTCCATGACAACCCGTGCTTGCCGGCGGTGGGGAATTACCCTCTTTCGGTGATGGGTACCTTGTTGTCTCCTGGTCTGGAAGGGGAATTCAAGAATACGGACAAGTTTGGTACTGCTATGGAGGCAATTGCCTATGATTGGAGCCGCAGTCCAGGCATGGAAGTTCATATTGAACTTATGGCGAGGGTAGCCAAAATGGTTCACCCATTCCTGAATCTGGGAGCACAAGGGTCGGTGATGGTTTCAGAATTTCTCTGGCAGCGCGGGAGGGCTCGGTTGATGGAGTTTCTTCAAGCGGCGACTTGTGCGGACCAATTGGAGGCTCTCTGGAGAAGGATGGACGACGATGCGGATGAGGAGGTGGATCCTTCGACAGCGATGCTGGAAGTTCTTGGACTAGAGGATGCGGTGCTTGATCAAGGGAACAATGAATCCCTTATTCCCATTGAAGATGCTGGAGGTGAGACAAGCGGTGACACTGGAGGGAAGGGCAAAGCGCCAGAAGTTTCTCCGGAAGAGGAGAAATCCAGTGGGTCATCCAGACTGGCGGACACAAGGATTTTCTTGTGGTCAGTGTACTCCCGCGTGGCTTCGAATTTCTCTATGCAGGACCGCACTACTGGTAAGATCTTTGACAGCACCAAAGGATATCCTGGTGAAGGACCAAACAATGATGACAATCCTTCCTCTAAGGGGAACTTTCCCTGGATTTCAGAAGACTACCTTGACGAAGTGGTGTCAAAAAAGATGGAAAGGTCTTCAGAGATGGATGGGTTTGTTCCGGGAAGTGAGGGATCATTGGAAAAGGTAGAGGTGGAGAATGTCACTGCCTCTAAAATTCTTATGGCTCTTTGGAAGAAGGGACATAGAGTTGGGTTTAGAAGGTTGCGTCGTTTGAATGCATCTGGATGCAAGGTTGGAGCAATGAAACGTCCAATCAAAAGGGTGCAGAAGATGTTCAATGTTTTTGGATCGTCTCAGCATGGCTCAGGAGTTGGCGGAAAACCGATCATGAAGGTGGTAGGACCAAGGCCAGGTTTTCCAGCTGTACTCCAAGCACCAAATACTGATAGCACGTCGGGTGAAGGGAGCAGTCCCCAGGTACATGGCAATGTTCATGTAGAGCACAGTCGCCCTATGGACCGGTATGAGGCAGAGCGCTTGGAGAAGAGGAAGAAGGGTTTCTGCTATTGGTTTGGCAAAGGGAAAGATCGCTGCAAATTTGGTGACGACTGCAAATTCATCCATTCCGAAGATGATGTGGTGCTACATTCATATTGGTGCAAATACTATGTGGCAGGGAGAGAATGTTTCGCTGGAAAGGATTGTGGGTTCTCGCATGATGCAACTGGTGTGAGGTGCGTCCAGTTTGCTCGGTCTGGGAAGTGTCGATTTGGTGACAGGTGTGTCTTCGAGCATGGTGTTCCGTTGGAAAAACAGAGGCCAAGGTCTCCAAGGACGCCCCCAAGGGATGGTCCAAGGAGAAAGTCTGGTGCAAATGGTGGAGAAAAGGAGATCCCTCCTGAACAGTTCGATGATGATGAGGAGGATTTTATGGTTTATGACGAAGAGACCAAGATGACGGAACTGTTGATGGAGGCGATTTCATTTCTCTCCGGTGGCAAGCCAGATTTGGCTCGTGCAGAGGCGGACCCATTGTTCAAACTCCTGAAGTTCACTGGAGATGCTGACCAAATGGATCAAGTATGGGTTTCGTGGACCACTGAAATGTTGTCAGTGCTGGAACTTCTCGAAGTAGTGAAGTCGTATGATGTTTCGCTCGCGGAGGTGGAAGAATGGGTCAATGACCTGAGGATATGGTATGAGCGAGCCAATTTGGGAGAAGAAAAGGATCCCAAAAAAGGGAAAAAGAGGTCCCTAGAAGGGGAGTCCAGCAAAGATATTCCTGCCGAAAAAGAAGTGGTTGAGACTTCGGAGACGGAGGTTGCCGTTGAGGAGGAGAAGAAAAAGGTAAAAAAGAAGAGGAAAGCTGCAGCTATCGAAGATCCTTACACTCTCATGGTTCCAAAGCCGAAGAAGATGCCGACGATCATTGAGAAGGGTGGATCAACATCCAATGTGGTGGCTTCTGCAGTGGAAAAATCCTCGAAGACGCGCACAAAGTCAAATGTCGGTGGAAAGACAAAGAAGAAGGAGAAAAGTCAGAGTCCCAAAAAAGAAGAGGTGGTAATGGTGCAAGATCCTGAGGAAAAGGATCGTCCATCCGATGCGGAGGCACCAGGGTCTGCCAATGCGAATGAAGAGCTGGGTCAATCTTGCCAGGCGATTGAGGACGCAAAGAGAGAAGGATTGGTATCCTCAATTCAAAGGGGCATACAGGATCCTATTCTTACGATTTCGGACCTGGAGTATATTCTGCTGCAACTTCACCTCAAGATTGCCAACAATCGGAAAAAGAAGTGATTGGATGGTATGGATGAAGGGATGGTTTTTCTCTTTCTGGAGACCGGTGCGCTGGAACAGCCAATGTGCTGACAATGTGGTGGTTACTATTAAGGGTATGGAAATCCCTGATAGTAGGAGTCAGTAGCTTTTCGCGTAGCGAAGACCACGGTTTGTGGTGAAGAAGGCCAAGGAGTCTTCAGTGATGAGAGGATCAAGGTGAAAAAAGATTCTCTATGGGTAGTAGGTTAGCCAATGTGCTATAATTCCGTCCTGGAAGACGTTAAACCACAATTTGCATTTCAAGCAGCTGGCTGCTGCCGTAATGGCAGTTTTTGGCCAAAAGATCTGCATCTCCAATGTGTCCTAGGAAATCCTAGGACAGGGGGAGTGCGGAGCTGCAATTGGTATTGTAGAAAGGAGTTAGTGTTGGAAGTTGGAAGGGTTAATGAACCCGGTAATCGTATTTGGCTCAAGATGGGCTTGAACAGAAAGCCACAAGTTCAAAAAGAAGTGCCTGGGTTCTTAGGGTTTGGTAAGGGTGTGGATTCCTTCCCCCTTTCCTTCCCCCCTGGGTTGCTCTTATCCGTGTTCTTGGTTGTTTCTTGGTTCGATCTGGGAAATATAAGTTCAGGGCGATTAGGGGAGTTGATTTCCTTCCTTGGTTGTCCCCCCGTACCCTAAACCCTAAACTCTAAACCCTAAACCCTAAACCTAAACCCTAAACCCTAAACCCTAAACCTTAAACCCTAAACCCTAAACCGCGGCTAAGGAATCCCTCCTGGCTGGTGGCGCAGGTGGTCCAGCTCTGCCGCTCCCAGGTGCAGAAGGCCCTGGAGCTCTACCGTGCCGCGTTGAAGGCCGGTCTGCAGCTGGAGGACCGCAGAGACCCTGGTTTAGGGTTTAGGGTTTAGGGTTTAGGGTTTGGGGTTTGGGGTTTGGGGTTTGGGGTTTAGGGATTGCTACTAATATTCCCTTATGGTCCCTTTATAGTTATATTGTAATGAACCCCAACACCCTATTCTGATTATTCAGGCCCCTATATGAAGCTTCCCTTCACTCACCTCAACAAAGGGCTCCGTAGACCCTGCATGTTAGATACCCCCAAGGTCCTAAGTTCATGCCTCTTGGGGCCTAGGGTTTAGTGTTTAGGGTTTAGTGTTTCGGGTTTAGGGTTCAGGGTTTAGGGCTCAGGGTTTAGGACACCTCGGCCTGGGCAGGAGATGCTGGCCGAGGAGAGCCAGCAGCTTTCCACGAGCCTTGTCACGGCCGCCATCCGTGTGGGCCAAGCCGATGATGCCTTGAGCGTCATGAAGGACACTCAGTTTAGGGTTTAGGGTTTAGGGTTTAGGGCTTAGGGCATAGGGTTTAGGGTTTAGGCTTAGGGTTTTAGGTTGGGATGTTCCCCCTTATACTAACAGTCCTTAGGCGGGATTGCAGTACCCCTACTTTCATCCCTATTAAGGACTTGGTAGAAGGGGAAACATCCAAAATTTTAGGGGTTTTAGGGTTGAGGGTTCAGGATTTGTGGTCTCCTGACCCCTTTACGCCCTATATAAGCCCTCAACCCCAACTCTTCCCCTCACACCCCCAAACCCAAAACCCCCAAAACCCCCAAAACCCCCAAAACCCCCAAAACCCCCAAAACCCCCAAAACCCCCAAAACCCCCAAAACCCCCCAAAACCCCCCAAAACCCCAAAACCCCCCAAACCCCCAAAACCCCCAAAACCCCCAAAAACCCCCCAAAACCCCAAAACCCCCAAAACCCCCCCCCCAAAACCCCCCCCCAAAACCCTAAACCCTAAACCCCACAACCCCCCCCCCCCCCCCCCCCCCCCAAAAAAAAAAAAAAAAGCCTCAACTCGTTCCAGGATCTGCGCCGCGTGGGACTCACCACCGACCCAGCTCTCCTGGCCTCCGCGACAAAGAAGCTCGGCTGGGGTTTTAGGGGGTTGAGGGCTTTGAGGGTTTTGGGGCTTTGGGGTTTTGGGGTTTTGGGGTTTTGGGGTTTAGGGTTTAGGGTTTTAGGGTTTTAGGGTTTAGGGTTTTAGGGTTTTAGGGTTAAGGGTTGAGGGTTTAGGGTTTAGGGTTTAGGGTTTAGGGTTTAGGGCCTTAGGGCTTTAGGGCTTTAGGGCTGTAGGGCTTTAGGGCTTTAGGGCTGTGAGGGGTCACCTGAAAAAGCCGCAAGGGCTACAAGTTTGGGGTACCTTTCTCTCCGGTGTTGCTGGCAACGTAGCCCATGAGTTTGGGCGACTGGGCCTGCCAGGTAGAATTTGGGGCTTGAGGGGTTTGGGTTTGGGGGTGTATGGGTTTGGGCCCTTTTTGGGGGGGTTGTTGTGATGGTTTGGGGGTTGGGTTTAAGGTCTCAAGGGGAGGGTTTAGGTTTTAGGCTTTAGGGTTTAGGGTTTAGGGTTAGGGTTTCGGGTCTGGGCGAATCTCGGGGCTTTCGGGGCTTTCGGGGGTTTGGGGGTGTGGGGGGTTTAGGTGTCTGGGTTTCGTGTCTACAGCATTTAGACCCAAGGCTAAAGCAGACTGAGCTGTCCACCGCAATGGTGTTCCTAAAAAACACGAAGCCCTACACGGGAAAATCCCGAGGCCTTGCGCCCGAATGCCCCAAACCCTAAACCCTAAACCCGAAACCCGAAACCCGAAACCCTAAACCCTAAACCCTAAACCCTAAACCTTAAACCCTAAACCCTAAACCCCAAACCCTAAACCCTAAACCCCTTAAGCCTTCAACTCCACCCCGGCAACTCGCACCTAAGGCTCTGCACTTCGAAGCAGCGGCCAGTCTGTGCTGAGATTTCTTTTACCACTAGTAACAAGGGAGGGTTTGGGGTTTGGGGTTTGGGGTTTGGGGTTTAGGGTTTAGGGTTTAGGGTTTAGGGTTTAGCGTTCTTGAGGGAGGGGGGTTCATGAGGGTAGGTACCTAGGGAACTTCAGGGAAGCTTCGGGCGCCTTAGGGAGTAGCAGGGATTTTTCGGGAGCCTTGGGTACCCTTCTGCCTTAAGAACCCTATAACTCTAGTAACGCCCCCTGTAAAAGGTATAAGAGGGATTGTAAAAGGTATTGCAAAAAAATGCGTGTGTATATATATATATACACACACACACACCTACGTATACACAGACATATACACAAATGCAGTAAAGAAACAAGTAAATAAAGAATAAATGAGTAAATACATGAAGAAATAGATAAATAAAGAAACAAACAGATAAGTAAACAACAAAATAAAGTTAATATATATATATATATATATATACATGTATGTATATATATATACACATACATATACATTGCGGTGAAAATATCGGCGTGGGGCTCTTTAGGTAAGAGGTTAGGGCTTCGGGGCATTTTCGTGGGGGTCGAAGTGCCCAGTGCCCCCCGCAGCCCTTAAACCTCTAAACCGCCCCAAGCTCCCAGCCCCACACGCAAAGCCCCTAGAAAATAATTAGGGTTTAGGGTTTAGGGGTTTAGGGGTTTAGGGGTTTAGGGGTTTAGGGGTTTAGGGGTTTAGGGGTTTTAGGGTTTAGGGGTTTAGGGGTTTAGGGGTCTAGGGGTTTAGGAGTTTAGGGGCTTAGGGGTTTAGGGGTTTAGGGGGTTAGGGGTTTAGGGGTTTGGGGGTTTAGGGTTTAGGGTTTAGGGTTTAAGCCCAAGCCAAAGGCTCTTTGCCGATTGCCTCTCCATCTACGACTTCGCCTCCCAGGACGAAAAGCTCACCATCCAGGACGACCAAACCCCTCAACCCCTACAAAGGTTCCCAGGGTTTAGGGTTTAGGGTTTAGGGTCCAAAAGCCGTAACCCCAAAAACCCTAGTCCCAAAACCCCAAATCCCCCTACAAAAAAAAAGCCTCCCAAATCCCCCCCAAAACCCTCCCAAACCCCACCCTGAACTCCAAAGGCCCCCAAACAAACTCCCAAGCCCCTCAAGCCTAACATATTTCTGAGTCGGCCTTGCGTGCACAGGTCAGGCCTCAAAGCAGCAGGGAGTTTAGTGTTCAGGGATTAGGGTTTAGTTTTTTACGGAGCTTAGGGTTTGCGGTTTAGGGTTTGTCCCCAATGACCTGCAGTTTTTTTGATACAGTCTCTTTTACGATTTAAGTTTGGTGTTTGAGGAACCTGGGACGATTAAGCTAGTATTTCATTGTGGTGCCACGGGATTCAAAGGCTTTGTCGCTTGGCGATGCCAGCAGGTGCTACTGTTGCGGCTGCTTCTCTAGCATCGCAAGACTTGCCAGCAATTTGTGGCTTTCACATCCCGAACTGATGCTTAGAGCCATGTTCTATATTCTGCTCCTTTAATCATACTCTAAAGCCTAAAGCCTAAAGCCTAAAGCCTAAAGCCTAAAGCCTGAAGCCTGAAGCCTGAAGCCTAAACCCCAAACCCTAAACCCCAAACCCTAAACCCTAAACCCTAGACCCTAAACCCCAGGCCCCAAATCCTGGTAGAGTTGGGTTTGCGTTATTCAGACTGGGACAAGCGGGCTCTTCGCAACTGCACTTGCAAGCATCAGAGTCTAGGGTTTAGGGTTTAGGGTTTAGGGTTTAGGGTTTAGGGTTTAGGGTTTAGGGTTTAGGGTGCCACACCAGCAGCACGAGCAGGCATGTTAGAGGAACAACTCCGCCTCCGCTACAGTCACGAAGCCCTAACCCCAAGACAAGCCCTAAGCAAACCTCCAAACCCTAAACCCTAAATTTTAAAGCCTAAACCCTAAACCCTAAATCCTAAACCCTAAACCCTAAACCCTAAACTCTAAACCCTAAACCCTCAACCCTAAACCCTAAACCCTAATTTATATCAGGACGTGAGCCTCCCCAAATGGAAGGATTCCCTTATACTAAGGACCCCAATAAGGTACCCCGTAATATTCGGAAACCCCCAACACCCAAAACCCTAACCCCCTAAAGCCTAAAGCCTACAGCCTAAACCCTAAACCCTAAACCCCTAACCCCCTAAACCCTAAACCCTAAGCCCCTACAAAAAGTTGGCAGGACAAGAGTGTCTGGAGCTGCCTCCTCTTCTGCGCGGTGGAGACGAAAGGCGAGCCAGGGTGTGGAGAGTTGAGGGGTCGGAATATTTACTAATGCTAGGTAGGCCCTTGGGACATTTCATATTTTCGCTTGTTGGGTTTAAGAGGATCATATTCAGGAATGTTTTTCAAAGGGTTTTAAGGGCCATCCTAGAATGGTATTCCCTTATATGGTGATCTTCCTTTCACCCTAGGCGCGGATTGACCCTCGGAAGCCGTGAGTTGAGTTGAGTTGAGGTATTCCCTATATGGTCCCAAAACGCACACAAAAGCAACCCCTCTAAAGCCCTATTCGAACCATGAAGGCCGCTAGATTGTTAGGTTTTGAGGGGCTTGGGCTTAGAGAGGGGGTGCCCTTTAAATGCTCGACACCCCCGCGCAGCAAGCAAAGAAGCAGGTAGCATTGGACTGCTAGGCCCTCCTTAAAACCACCCTCCCAAACCATAAGCCCCAAACCCTAAACCCTAAACCCTAAACCCTAAACCCTAAACCCTAAACCCTAAACCCTAAACCCTAAACCCTAAACCCTAAACCCTAAACCCTAAGCCCTAAGCCCTAAGCCCTAAACCCTAAACCCTAAACCCTAAACCCTAAACCCTAACCTTAAACCCTAAACCCTAAACCCTAAACCCTAAACCCTAAACCCTAAACCCTAAACCCTAAACCCTAAACCCTAAACCCTAAACCCTAAACCCTAAACCCTAAACCCTAAACCCTAAACCCTAAACCCTAACCCTAAACCTAAACCCTAAACCCTAGACCCTAGACCCGAAACCCTAAACCCAAAATCCTAAACCCTAGGCCCTAAACCCTAAAGCCCAAAGCCTAAAGCCTAAAGCCTAGACCTTAAACCCTAAACCCTCCCCGTCCCCTCCCCCGAAACGCACGTCACGGGAGGCTACGGACGCTGTGCCTTCTTCTTTGAGCGGCTCAAGGCTTACGGGGCGCCGTCTCCGAAGGACTTTGGCCACCCGGACAAAGTCTAGGAGAAGCTGGGGTGTTGGTTGATTTAGTTTGGGTTGCATTTAAGGCACTTACTTTGGGATACCCTACTACATATGGATAAACAACACACACATGTATGTATATATATATATATATATATATATATTTATACACTTATAGGTACATATTAGGTCGCATTGCTTCCTGATGCTAAGAACTTAGTTCAAGTTCCTTAGCAACCCAGTTCAGCGCTTGAGGTCAGCTTAGGAGGCGGCTCCACGTTTCGCAGAATTTGCCTGGGGTAGGGAATGTGGTAAGATGTGCTTTTTTTCTGGGGGGTTTAGGGTTTAGGTTTAGGGTTTAGGTTTAGGGTTTAGGGTTTAGGGTTTAGGGTTTAGGGTTTAGGGTTTAGGGTTTAGGGTTTAGGGTTTAGGGTTTAGGGTTTAGGTTTAGGGTTTAGGGTTATACCCCAAACCTGAACCCTAAACTGCTACAAGGTAACATGGTCCGCTTTGCCTCCAGCACCAGCAACTGGCGACTGGCCCTAAGCCTCATCGACGAGATGCACAAGGCAGTCCCAGCAAACGCCCTTCAAAACCCTCTGATATTTGGGGTTTTAGGGTTTAGGGTTTAGGGTTCGAATTATTTACTAATAATGTTCCCCTGTGGTCCCTTTTCTCATTATACTACCATAACCCCCAAAACCCTTTTCGAATTATTGAGGCCCCCCATAGACCCTAACAGCGCTATGAGCCTTGCAAGCCCTCTAAGCCTGATAAACCCTATATAATCAGATCGGCCCTATAGACCCTATAAGCCTCCCCTGTACACCCTGTAAATCGCATAAACGCTAAGGCTAAACCCTGAACCCTGAACCCTAAACCCTAAAACCTAAACCCTAAACCCTAAACCCCAAACAACAAACCCTAAACCCCAAACCCCAAACCCCAAACCCCAAACCCCAAACCCCAAACCCCAAACCCTAAACCCTAAACCCTAAACCCTAAACCACAAACCCTAAACCCTAAACCCTAAACCCTAAACCCTAAACCCTAAACCGTAAACCCTAAACCCTAAACCCTAAACCCTTAAACCTCCTTAAGCAATTGCAGGCCAAGGTCGAGGTGGACAGCGTTGTGTACAACACCGCGGGGTCCCCTAGTGATCTTCCGCCGCTGAGGCCACACATGCCAGGGTTTAGGGTTTAGGGTTTAGGCTTTAGGGTTTAGGGTTTAGGGTTTAGGGTTTAGGGTTTAGGGGCCGAAGCCCTACATTACCAAACCCTAAACCCGATTCGGAATTATTTAGGCCCCTACGGCGGGCGTTCGCGACGCGTTCGCTCAGGTCTTGGCCGCTTGCGTCAGCGCCGAGCAGCTCGACAAGGCAGGTCCAGCTCTCTCTCTTTTGCTGTTTTTGAGGTTTGGGGTTTAGGGTTTAGGGTTTAGGGTTTAGGGGTAGGGTTTAGGGTTTAAAGCCCACTTTGCGGAAGTCCGGCTGTACATGGGTGACAGGCGCGGCAGCTTTTGGACGACATGGTCGCCGCCGGAGGTGTAACCGATGTCATCACGTACAACACGCTGGCCAAGGCACGAGAAAGGGGTCCATGGTTGAGGGGTTTATCTAGGTTGGTTTTTGGGCCTCTTTTTTTTTTTTTTTTGCCCTATTTGGGTTTATAAAGGACCCTCTATATAAATATTTCTCAGAGGGTTTAAAGGCCAGTTATCCTACATTCCATCCACAACCCAGGGGCCTCGAAGCAGAGCAGAATCCTCTCTGAAAGATTCTGAAAGGCTCCCCCTCCAAAACAGGTTTAGGGTTTAGGGTTTAGGGTTTAGGGCTTAGGGGCCCGAAACAGACAACCCCCAAGTGGTCCTCAGGGCTATGCCAAAGCCGGGTGCATGGACACCTGCTTCGAGCTGTACAAGCTCATGCGCTCACGCGGCCTGACACCGTCGCAAGTCACCTACGGCATTTTGCTGGATGGCTTCATCAACGACAACGAGGCCCGGGCCGATTCTTTTAAACATAAGCAACCCTGACCCGAATTTTTCTTGTTCATAGCCCACCCCCCCCCCGCCAACAAAAAAAGAACTTTCAGGACTTTTATGGGGTACCAGGTACCGAATTCCCTAGTGCTCTATCTATCAAGAGCCAGCAAGTAAAGAGCCAGCAAGTAAATCATGGCGACGCAGGCCCAGGAATGCTGTCAAGATTTTCCAGGACACATGTTCAAACACTCTAGGGTTTAGGGTGTAACAAAACACTCCGAAGCAAATCCCCCCCAGCAACACAAGAACAACTAGGAACCATCAGTTAAAGCAAGATCAATAAAGTCGCTCAGGCCGCAGTGATTCGGTTACGAACATCTCTCGGAATTCATGAGTGAGGCTTCAGAGAATTTAGGGTTTAGGGTTTAGGGTTTAGGGTTTAGGGTTTAGGAAGCTTTCTCTGGGACTCGCCCGGCGGGCTTCCAGGTTTTTTTGGTACTCCCCCTGCCAGGTCGAAAAGGCCGTGGAGATCTTCGAAACGATGCGCACTGAAGGGTGCCAAATGAATACGGTGCCTCGTCAGACCCTATGCCAAGGGCGGGCCAAGAAGCCCTGAAACCTTCATCGACAAGAGAGCTGCTTTGGGGGTTTCAGGGCCTTAGGGGCTCACGAAGTCAGTGCAAGGTGCTCTACACAACTTTGATCAAGGGCTTCGCTCGTGCTGGGCAAGTGGATCAAGCAGTCAAGATATACGAAGAGATGCAGAAGGCCGGTGGTCTCTATGTGCGCTTGAAGAGTTCAGGATAAGGGTGCCCCCCCCCCACACCCCAATCTTGGAAGAACCCCTTGTCATGTTCCTTCACGCGAGCCCTGACTAGTACAGGAGGTTGAGGGTTTAGGGCTGGGCATTGCTACTTGGGGACAATTTGCAGAGGAGAAACATCCGAAGCTCCCCCCTTAACGATACCAAGCAGGGTTTAGGTGCGGAGGGTGTTGGGGGGGCCTTCCAGCCCTCAACCCTCAATCCTCAACCCTAAACCCCCAAACCCTCAACCCTCAACTTCACAGGAGAGATCCATGCAACCAGACGTGATCACGTTCTCCATCCTCATCAAAGCAAACTGCGATGTGGGCAGGCCGGGGCTCGACCGGGGGAGAGGGGGGGAGTTAGGGAAGTTGAAAGAGTTTAGGGTTTAGGGTTAAGGGTTTTGGGTTTTGGGTTTTGCGTTTAGGGTTTAGGGTTTAGGGTTCAGGGCTCTACACGGCCACAGCAAATTCTGCCAAACCCTGCAGCAGTTGTCAAAAGCGCACGACGCCGCTTCGGTAAACCACGCATGTAAGCCCTTCATGGAGGTTCATGGGTACTTATATCCCCAGTTATAATCGGGGTCTTAGCGGGCTCATCAGTGCCCCCCCCCTCCCACCCCTCCCCCCCCCCCTCCCCCCTTCCCCCCCCCCCACCAAAAAAATATCCCGAACCCCAACACCCCCCCGCCTTCCCCCCCCCCCCCCCCCCCCCACCAAAAAAATATCCCTAACCCAACACCCCCCCCCCCCCCCCGCCCCCCCCAAAAAAAACCAACAAGAAAAAACCAAAAAGCCTTAAAAGCCCTACTTGGCTCCGAGGTTGGAGGAGGCCCTGAAGATGCTCTTGGCCATGAAGGAGGCCGGGCTCAAGCCCGACGAGGCGCGCACTCGGTGGGTTTTTGTCTTTGTTTTAGGTTGCAGGGTTGAGGGTTCACAGGGGTTGAGGGGTTGAGGGGTTGAGGGGTTGAGGGTTTACGGGGTTGAGGGTTCAGAGGGTTGAGGGTTTACAGGGTTGAGGGTTTACAGGGTTGAGGGGTTGAGGGGTTGAGGGGTTGAGGGGTTGAGGGGTTGAGGGGTTGAGGGGTTGAGGGGTTGAGGGGTTGAGGGGTTGAGGGGTTGAGGGTTGAGGGGTGGGTTGAGGGGTTGAGGGGTTGAGGGGAGGTGTGGCAGTGTGGGAGTGTGGGAGTGTGCGAGTGTGCGAGTGTGGGAGGGGTCGGGTTAGGAGACGCGGCTTTTGGGGGGAGGAGGGCATGGTTTCGAAAGTGTTCGGGGGTTTGGGGCAATTAAGGGTTTTGAAGGGATTGAGGGCTTTAGAGGTTGTAGGGCTTTTGGGGGTGTAGGGCTTTAGGGGCTGAGGGGGTCAAGAGTTTGAGCGCCGGAGTTTCAGATAGGGTTTGGGATTTGAGGGTTTGAGGCTACAAGCACCTACAAACCCTAACCCCAACTCCCTAAACCCAACACCCTGAACCCTAAGTCCTAAACCCCAAAACCCTAAACCCTAGACCCTAAGCAGAAATCCTAAACGCAGGTGGTCTTCAACAACCTCCTCGGCGGCTGCATCAACGATTGCAAGATCGACCTTGCCAAGGTGGGGTTTGGGGTCTAGGGTCTGGGGTTTGGGGTTTGGGGTCTGGGGTTTAGGGTTGGGAATTTAGGGGTTTAGGGATTAGGGTTTCAGCGTTTAGGAGCTCATGGTTGAACATTTCGACTTTTGTGGGCGTGTCCTTTTGTGGGGAATGCGGTATTTCCTGATTGTTGGAGGTCTGGGGCAATGGAATCCCCAATGACACCTTCGTGTAGAGCACTCACCTGGGCAAGAAGCACTCCAGATTCTCAAGCCCTAAACCCTAAACCCTAAACCCTAAACCCCAAACCCTAAACCCTAAACCCTAAACCCTAAACCCCAAACTCTCAAGCCCTAAGCCCTCCAAGTCTTTTACCCCACAGGATCTCAACCGCGCCCCTTTAAAACCCCAAACCCTGCATCTCCGAACCCCAAACTTGAACTCTCTGAGCCCCAAACCCTAAACCCTAAACCCTAAACCCTAAACCCTAAACCCTAAACCTTAAACCCTAAACCCTAAACCCTAAACCCGAAACCCGAAACCCTAAACCCTAAACCCTAAACCCTAAACCCTGAACCCTGAACCCTAAACCCTAAACCCTGAACCCTAAACCCTAAACCCTAAACCTTGAACCCTAAACTTCAAACCCCAAACCCCAAACCCCAAACCCTAAACCCTGAACCCTAAACCCTAAACCCTAAACCTTGAACCCTAAACTTCAAACCCCAAACCCCAAACCCCAAACCCTAAACCCTAAACCCTAAACCCTAAACCCTGAACCCTAAACCCTAAACCCTCTAAAAGCCCCAGAAGCATCCACGCAGGACCTCTACAAGGAGATGCTGGCCTCGAACGTGCAGCCAGGCTGCAGTGGTAGAGATTACCTGGAGCTGCGATTTAGGGTTTAGGGTTTAGGGTTTAGGGTTTAGGGTTAAGGGCTCAGGGTTTAGGGCTTAGGGTTTAGGGTTTAGGGTTTAGAGGTTTAGGGTTGAATGGTTAAGGGTTAAGGGTTTATAGGGTTTAGGGAGCCAATTCGTATAGAAGTGGCTTTCAGGTATTGGTCACCTACCCTAACCCGAAACCCGAAAGCCCTTGTCCGTTTCTTCTAGCTAGTTGCCCTAAGTGGACTCTGCTTGCCGAAAGTCGACTCCGAGCCCTCTGCACCAGGGTTTGGCAAAGCTTTTAGCATGTTTGGGGGTTGAGGGTTTTGGGTTTAGGGTTTAGGGTGTAGGGTTTAGGGTTTAGGGCTGAGGGCTGAGTGTTGAGGGTTGAGGGTGTGCTGTTTTGTTGCTTTTGGTTGTTTGGCGTGGTGTGCACAGGCTTTCCAGCATGTGTCAGAGGTTTCTCGTCGGTTTCACGCGTTGTCAAGCGATGGGGCTTCATGCTCAGCAATACACAATGCCTCGCAAAACTTAATTAATATGTCAGATTGCGGAGCTTCGAAAGCATTTGACATGGCCTGATGATGCAGGGGCTGAGACTCCACTGGGTAAGCAATGCTGGCTGTTGGCGACATGCCATTGTATGGCCCCAGTAGAAGGGTTCTGTGCGGTTCACTGGGTAGGTTTAGGGCTCGGGCTTCAGGATTTAGTTTATCGTGACTTTGGGCCCATCTTGGCGATAGGCGTACAACCCTAAAACCTACAACCTTAACCCTCAAACCCTGCACCCTAAATTCTAAACCCTAAACTCCAAACCCTAAACCTTAAACCTTAAAGTCTAAACCCTAAACTCCAAACCCTACACCAAAAACCCCCTCGCAGGGCTTAGCCTTTTTAGCCCAGGAAGCCCTCAGTGGCCACCTTCTCCATCCTCATCCGCCTCTATGCCCAGTGCTATCCGGCTGCAACGGAGGATCCTCGCGTGTAGGGGGATCAGCCCTAAACCCTAAACCCTAAACCCTAAACCCTAAACCCTAAACCCGAAACCCGAAACCCGAAACCCGAAACCCTAAACCCTAAACCCTAAACCCTAAACCCTAAACCTTAACCCTAAACCCTAAAGCCCAAATCCTAAACCCTAAACCCTAAACCCTAAACCCTAAACCCTAAACCCTAAACCCTAAACCCTAAACCCTAACCCTAAACCCTAAAGCCCAAATCCTAAACCCTAAACCCTAAACCCTAAACCCTAAACCCTGAGTGCTGGCACCTCCAAAGCCCCTGGCTACATCCCCCACAAAGCTGCTCCGTAGTTCAGGGCCGTTGTGGCCTAAAGGGTTTAGGGTTTAGGGTTTAGGGCTTAGGGCTTAGGGTTTAGGGTGTTTCAGGTTTAGGGTTGAGGGAATTTAGGGTTCAGGGTTTAGGGTGGAGGGATTTGGGGTTTAGGGTTAAGGGATGCAGGGGTCTGGGGTTGAGGGGGTTAGGCATTTAGGCATTTGGGGCCCCTAAACCCTAACCCCTAAACCCTAACCCCTAGACCCTAAACCCTAAACCCTAAACCCTAAACCCCTAAACCCTAAACCCTAAACCCTAAACCCTACACCCTAAACCCTACACCCTAAACCCTAAACCCTAAACCCTAAACCCTAAACCCTAAACCCTAAACCCTAGACCCTAGACCCTAGACCCGAGACACTAGACAATGAACCCTAAACCCTAAACCCTAAAGCCTAAAGCCTAAAGCCTAAACCCTGAACCCTGAACCCTAAACCCTAAACCCCAAACCCTAAACCCTAAACCCTAAACCCTAGACCCTAAACCCTAAACCCTAAGCATAAAGGGCTCGTGGAAGTGCACGGGCAGACTCAGCCAGGCAAGCGCTGGGACGAAGCCGTCGACCTCTTGCGCCAGGTGGCGTCAGGGCTTGGGGTGTAGGGATTTAGGGTTTAGAGATTTAGGGTTTAGGGTTTAGAGATTTAGGGTTTAGGGTTTAGGGTTTAGAGATTTAGGGTTTAGGGTTTGGGGCCTAGGGCTTGGGGACTACACAAGACGACGCCCTGGCATGGAGGCCTTTTGGGTAGCACGGGCGACGTTGGCTACCCTTGCCCCCCGAAAGGGTTAGGGTTTAGGGTTTAGGGTTTAGGGTTTAGGGTTTAGGGTTTAGGGTTTAGGGTTTAGGGTTTAGAGTCCTGTTGGGGAGAGGGGGTGGTAGCCAAATTGGCCCCAAGGCCCTGAAGCCTGAACCCCAATTAAATTCGTCCTGAGCCTTGGGCTGGGGCGCATCGTGTCACGCCCTTGAAAACCCTAAACCCTAAAACCCTCAAACCCGAAACCCTAAACCCTAAACCCTAAGCCCTAAACCCTAAGCCCTAAACCCTAAACCCTACACCCTAAACCCTAAACTCCGACTGACGAAACCCAGACTTTCGAGAAACAGGAGCTGCCATCGCAGCGCGTCGTTCCAGAGCCGCGGCTCTATGGCCAGCTGGTGCCGACCTCAGGGGCCAGGGGCTGATGTAAATGGGTAGTTTCGGTTTTAGGGTTTAGGGCCTAGGGTTTGGTACTTCTGCCTCTTTGGGTCAAGGTTCCATTCAAAAGTAACCAACCCAAACCCTTGCAATAATATGGTAAGAATAAGGTTTAGGGCCTAAAATTTGGGGCGTCAGTCGGCGTCGACTGTAAGGAATCGCGGGGTCTAGTGCTTAGGGTTTCAACTGTACTTCGACCTCCTGTGCCCCGACGCTGAAGTGACGAAACCCTCAAAGCTCCAGCAGCTTAGCCCGAATGCAAGAAAGACAGACCCTGATGGCCACCAAAACGCCTGGAGCCCCTCCAGCCCTAGTTTTGAGAACCCCTCATTCTTCGAACCATGAGCTCCAAGAAACGTTTGGACCCAGAGTAGGGTTTAGGTTCTCTTATAACAAGCCCCTCAACATTCAAAAAAGGCCACCCTTTTGTATTCCTAGGTTACTCCTGGGTCTAGAAACGACACAACGCCTACTCAGGCCCAGTGCTGCCTCCGCGATCGCCAGGGTCGCCGTGCGACGGAGGCAACGCGCGGGGGGCGCGCTTGTGTTGCCGGCAATTGGTGGGTTCTGAGAGAATTGTTGGATCTTAGGCCTCCTCCGGATGCCTCACAGTCTGGGTTTAGGTTAGGGTGTTTAGGGTGTTTAAGGTGTTTAGGGTGTTTAGGGTGATAGGGTGTTTAGGGTTTAGGGTTTAGGGATGCTATAATGCATCGGTTCAGGTCTACACGATGCTCACGGAGCACTCGACCCCAACGGCCGCGATGAACAGCACCCTGCTGGGCATGTGCGCCAAGCTGAACATGCTGGACACAGGCCAGCAGTTGGAGCTGGGGTACCCTACCACCCTAATCTCCCTAAACTCCCTAAATTCCCGGCCCCTAAACTCCCTAAACTCCCTATACTCCCTAAACTCCCTAAACTCCCCCCAAAACCCTAAACTCCCTAAACTCCCCCCAAAACCCTAAAGCCCCTAACCACCTCCCTCCCCCCCAACAAACAAGATAGACCCTAAACCCTCCACTGATGCTAAGATCCGTGTGGGATCCGGGCTCAGGTCGAACACCCGTAACAGTAGTAAAGTATAACAAGCATAGTTGTAAGAGTCGAGAGAAGCCGAGTTGAGTTTTCACAGTAGCAGTCGTAGTAATGATGATAATGCTGATGACGATAATGATGATGTTCATGATGATGATGATGATGATGATGATGATGATGATGATGATGATGATGATGATGATGCCGACGATAGCAGGAGCAAGGCATAACAATGGCCGTGGCTGGCATCCTTCTTTGTCATGGTGCCCAACTCCGCTGCTGTTGTATGGTATCAATTGGGGATGTCCCCCATATACTAACTACCAGTCAGTAATAGGGATTACAGTGCCCCCTACTATAATCCCTACTATCGACTGTTCGTATATGGGGGAACATCCCACAATATCATGTTGTCGGGGTCTCTGAAAACCCTAAACCCTAAACCCTAAACCCTAAACCCTAAACCCTAAACCCTAAACCCTAAACCCTAAGCCCTAAGCCCTAAACCCTAAACCCTAAACCCTAAACCCTAAACCCTAAAAACCCTCAACCCTAACCAATTGGAGTTTATTCTCGGGCCAGGCGCCGAGATCATGCACCTGGCGGCCAGCGCGGGCTCCCGCGTGGACCCGCGCGATGCGGCCATGATGCTCGAGGCAGACTCATCGACTAGGAGTCGGAATACCCCTAAGCACCTAAACCCTAAACCCAAAGCCCTAAACCCTAAACCCTAAACCCTAAACCCTAAACCCTAAACCCTAAACCCTAAACCCTAAACCCTAAACCCTATAATTTTCTAATCGTATTCCCTCATGGTCCCTTGATGGTTATACTGCAAGAACCCCCAACACCCCATTCTGGTTTCTGAGGTCCCTATATTACAGCTAATCATCGTCTCAACGGCTTGGGGGCTTAGGACGCTCTGAGGCAGAAGAGCCAGAAGGCTAAGATCTCAATTGCGCTGAAACCCTGAAGGCCCCTCAAACCCCACAAACCCTTGAGCCTGAGGTCCTCTGAAGGAGGGCAGGGTCTTGGGGGTTTAAGGAGCATGGCATGACATCCGCAGGGTAGTTTAGGATTTAGGGTTTAGGGTTTAGGGCTTAGGGTTTAGGGCTTAGGGTTTAGGATTTAGGGTTTGGGGTTTGGGGTTATATGGTCCCTGAATATGGTCCTTTACCTTCTTTAGAGGCTGCTGAAGGCGGGGCCCTTGGGGTTTGTAGGGTACAGGGTATATACGCGGTCCCCTTGTAAGGCACCCATATTTAGGCACCATGCAATTCCCAAAAGAGGTTTAAGCTCAGAGTTTCTTGGCGTTCCGACCCATCAAAGAACCCCCAATTATTGCTCGGAGGCCCCAAGTTCTGCAATGTTTTGCATCATCCAAACTCCCCGTCTCCAATACGCTGAATACATCTTCCAAGCAGCCTTGCTACCTAAGATTCAATCTTCCTATGCAATGGTGAATATTTAGTGTGGGGCCGGAGAAGGGGGGGGGGCTCCTTAATATCAGGGTCCCTGAGGTCATGTGGCTCTACCTTGGACCCCCTTCAGGTTGCACCCTTGCGTTTGGGGACCACTTGAATAAAGTTTCTCTAAGGCAATATGCTAAGGGAACCTCTTAGGTACATGTAAGGGATCCCCCTTAAACCCTGAAGGCGAAACCCTAAACCCTAAACCCTAAACCCTAAATACTAAACCCTAAACCCTTTACCCTAAATCCTTAGGTCCTAAGCCCGAAGACGGCAGGGCTTAAGAAATGTTCTTACTTTTGCGGCCTAGTGGGGGGTTTAGGACTTAGGGTTGAGGGTTTAGGGTATCGCGTTTAGGGTTGTTGCCCAAACAGGCTGCTCTCCGCAAGAAGAAGTCGCAAGTCATGGACACCATCAAGGAGCTGCGTGGGTGGAAAGGTCAAAGGAAGGTAGGAACCCCAAACCCTAGTATAGGGGTCGGAACAATTACGAATAGTATTCCCTCATGGTCCCTTGATAATTATATCATAACAACCCCAAACCCTGTTCTAATTATTAGGCCCATATACTAACCCCAAAGCCCAAACCCAAGCTGAGGTAAACGCCGCAGACATCCGACCAAAACCAAAAAAACAAACCCCATAAAGCCAATACAACCCTATATGAACGCTAAAAACCCTTGCAGGTGCTCATAACTTTAAGAGGCCCTAACAGGCCCGCAACCCTTACAAACCAGAAATCCTCAGCTAAGCCAACGCTCCCTATGGCTTGGAGCTTGGAACCTGAATTAAACCCTAAACCTCAAGCACGTGTGGCGAATCCAGGCTTGAAAAAGCAAGCAAAACTAAACCCGAAAACCGAAGCCCTAAACCCTAAACCCTAAACCCCAAAACCCCAAACCCCAAACCCCAAACCCTAAACCCAAAACCCTAAACCCTAAACCCTAAACCCTAAACCCCAAGACTTGCGGCTGGAGGATGCCATGATCAAGTTGAAGCTGCCGGCTCCAGAGCTGCGATGCAGTAGGGCTTCAGGCTTTTGGGGCTTTTCGGTTTAGGGTTTAGGGTTTAGGGTTAGGGTTTAGGGTTTGGGGTTTAGGGTTGAGGGTTGAGGGTTCAGGGTTGGGGGTTGAGGGTTTAGGGGTACTTCATGCTTCTAGGGCTGGTTTTGAGGCTTTGGGGTTTAGAAGGGGTTTACGTGGGAGGATGTATCAAGCTTTTCGTCCAACAAGTCTCGGCGTGTGCGCTTGTCAAGCCAGACTCAAGAAACAGCGAGAGAGCAGGGTTTAGGGGGCTTAGGGGGTGTAGGAGGTTTAGGAGGTTTAGGGGGTTTAGGGGGTTTAGGGGTTTTAGGGGGTAACGTAGTAAACCCTAAACCCTAAACCCCTAAACATCCCCAAGCTAAAGGGGGGGGGTGCTGGGCTCGACACTTTTGCTGAGGTTCAGGCATAAATGCTGACGAGCCGCAGCTGCTGCGCGAAACCGTTTTGGCAGATCGGAAAGTCCAAAAAGCTTGCTGGTTTAGGGTTTAGGGTTTAGGGTTTAGGGTTTAGGGTTTAGGGTTTAGGGTTTAGGGTTTGGTGTTTAGGGTTTAGGGTTTAGGGTTTGGGGTTTAGGGTTTAGGGTTTAGGGCTTAGGGTTTAGGGTTGCTTGTGCATGGCATCTGTGGCTGAAGTTGACATGTGGGACTTGGCATTGTCCCCGGAAGTGAACCCCATACTGAAGGCCCCTAAACCCACCCCAGGTAACCCTAAACCCTAAACCCTAAACCCTGAACCCCGAACCCTAAACCCTAAACCCTAAACCCTAAACCCTAAACCCTAAACCCTAAACCCTAAACCCGAAACCCTAAGCCCTAAACCCTAAACCCTAAACCCTAAACCCTAAACCCTAAACCCTAAACCCTAAACCCTAAACCCTAAACCCTAAACCCTAAACCCTGAACCCTAACCTGTCATAAAGTGGCCAAGCTGCACTTCTGGAAGGATACTCGGATGCTCGACCTATGGCCGCCCAGATCTGGTGGAGCGGGCTCTTTCCCCTGAGGCGCCCACTTTGTTCGGCGTTTAGGGTGGGGTTTAGAGTTTAGGATTATGGGGTTTAGGATTTAGGGTTTAAGGTTTAGGGGTAAGGGTTCAGAGTTTAAAGGTTTAGGCTTTAGGGTTTAGGGTTTAGGGTGTAGGGTTTAGGGTTTAGGGTTTAGGGCCGGATTTTGGAGACTTGAGGGATGATCTTCTTCTCTCACAGAGGAAACTCCACAAAGTTTTAGAGTCCTCCAGAGCTTAGGAAAAACAACGGCCGTGAGGAACAGATGTGAAACAGAATGTGTGCATATGTGAATATGTATGAATGTCTGTATGTCTGTATGTCTGTATGTCTGTATGTCTGCATGTCTGTATGTCTCTCTCTCTGTATATGTATTTTCATAATCATACGCGCGTATGTGCATAACAACTATGCGCGTAGTTTGTCTGCCAAAGCAGCGGCTCGTCGTGGTCATCCTGGAAATTCACAGTTCTTGCAGTGGCATGGTCTCCCATGCTTGGAGGTTCATGAGTACTTCTACCCGCAAGGGTTTAGGGTTGAGGATTTAGGGTTTAGGGTAACCACAATTACAAGTCTACTTATAGCCTACTTAGGGGACTTAGGGGGCCTATAAGTGCAGCAATAATTAGGGTTAAAAGTTAAAAAGTACCCTGGCCAGTGTGCCGCGCGCTGAGCGGAGCCGATGATCAGGGAAGACCCTTAACAAGTCTCAGCCCCCAAGCTCTGAACTGTTTAGGGTTGAGGGTTTAGGGTTTAGGGTTTAGGGTTTAGGGTTTAGGCTTTAGGGTTTAGGGTTTAGGGTTTAGGGTTGCGCAAAACCACACGACAGCCCCTCCAGGTGCGTGCAGACTACCTGGGAAGCGGCGCCATCTTCGCAACGCCCACAAAGCGGAGTTCGTCGGCCAAGGAGCCCTCGTCAAACCCCTACTGCCCTCTACCCCTCCAGACCCTCAACTTTCTTAGGCCCCTTCCTAGAACCCCAAAGGTTCTTAAGTCCCGTAACCCCAAAACGGCACTAAACCTCACGAAGCCCCGAACCCCCCAGACCTTGCATCTTAATCCCTCATGCCTTTAACCCACATAGGGTTTGGGGTTTAGGTTTTGGGGTTTAGGGTTTAGGGTTTAGGGTTCAGGGTTTATGGTTTAGGGTTTCGGGACCCTCACAGCATCAACAGCCTCGAGCACCTCAAGCCCTCTTTCGCCCTTCAAGCAGTCTCGAGTCCCCCCCAAAGCCCCAAACCCTGGAAACCCCGAAGCCCTGTAAAGCTGGCTAATCCTGAACCCTAAACTTTAAACCCTAAACCCTAAGCCCTAAGCCCTAAACCCTAAACCCTAAACCCTAAACCCTAAACCCTAAGCCCTAAACCCTAAACCCTAAGCCCTAAACCCTAAACCTAAAACCCTAAGCCCTAAACCCTAAGCCCTAAACCCTAAACCCTAAGCCCTAAGCCCTAAACCCTAAACCTAAAGCCCTAAACCCTAAACCCTAATCCCCAAACCCTAAACCCTACCATAGACTAGACACGTACTGCCTCAAGCCAGGGTTTAGAGCATCTACCCCAGCTGCGGCAGCAGGTGGACAGCCAGGCCATGGGTTTAGGTTAGGGTTAAGGGTTAAGGGTTAAGAGTTAAGGGTGAAGAGTGAAGGGTTTAGGGTTTAGGGTTTAGGGTTTAGGGTTTAGGGTTTAGGGTTTAGGGTTTAGGGTTTAGGGTTTAGGGTTTAGGGCTTAGGCCGGCGGTTACGAAAGGAGGGGGATCAGGGTTTGGGGTTCAGGGTTCCAGGTTCTGTAAGGGGGCTCGAGTGCTAGAAGCTTGTCGGGGTTTAGGGTTCAGGGTTTAGGGTTTAGGGTTCGAGGTTCCATGAGGGGTTTAGGGTTTCAGCTTTCCGAGGTCGGGGTTCGACGGGTGGTTTAGGGATTAGGGTTAAGTGTTTAGAGCTTTTGGGTTTTGGGGGTTAAGGGTTTGTAGGATTTTAAAGAACTGAGCGAAGACTCCTGGAAAGGGGGGGGGAGTCCCGGCTTCCCTGATCCCAAGAACAAGGTATAGGGTTTAGGGATTGAGGTTTTAGGTTTGGGGCTTAGGTGAATGTCCTTTTCGATTTAGGGTTTAGGGTTTAGGGTTTAGGGTTTAGGGTTTAGGGGTTGAGGTTTTAGGTTTAGGGCTTAGGTTTAGGCCGAAACCCTAAACCCCGAACGCGAAACCAGGCCGGCAGCCGACATGTACCAATCGTTGCTATTGGTGGCGCCGCGCCCTCAGCCTCCTAGAGACTCCCAATGGCCCCGATCAAAGGGTCTAGGGTTGCGTGTCAGTCCCTAACCTCTAGAAACCGTAAACCCTAAACCTCAAGCCCTAAGCCCTAACCCTTAACCCCAAACCCCAAACCCTAGAAGCCCTCAACCCCAATGCGCTGTAAACGGGGCTTATGGGCTTATGGGTCCATCCTGTCCAACGTGCGTGGTCTTTTGGCATCTTGCATTCCCTGCAGCCGCAGTGCAGTGCCTTTCAGGGTAGAGTCTGGGGCGTTTAGGTTTAGGGTTTAGTGATTCAGGGTTAGGGTTTAGGGTTTAGGGTTTAGGGTATAGGGTTTAGGGTTTAGGGTATAGGGTTTAGGGTTTAGGGTTTTAGGGTTTTAGGGTTTTAGGGATGAAGCACAGGGTTTCGGCGGCTTTAGTTTAGGTTTTCGAGATTTTTCGAGGGGTTTCCGCCTAATTAAGGTGGATGCGGAGTCTGCCGCAGACTGCGTCCGCCGCGGAGTGGATGGTGTGGCGGTGGTGAGCCCGCGGCACTGGGGCTACTACTGACTGTTTAGGGTTTAGGGTTTAGGGTTTAGGGTTTTGGGTTTACGGTTTAGGGTTTAGGGGTTCTTAGTATGGAAAGGGTTTATCAAGACCTCAAAAGAGTGACGCATACACCCTGTATGTTCGTGTAGGATGTCGCCCTGAAGCCTAAACACGCAACCCATGAAGCCGCATACACCCTAAACCCTAAACCCTAAACCCTAAACCCTAAACCCTAAACCCTAAACCCTAAACCCTAAACCCTAAACCCTAAACCGAGGACTAGAAGTTCCAGGGCTTTCTTACTCTATCCAAGCTTTGGGTGTTTTCCGGGGCCCAGAGTGCAGCGGTGACTCTACCCCCACTCTCGTTGAGTGCTTAGCTTGCCGATTCAGTAGCCGCACCCGACAAGGTTGGCAGGTACCCTAAACCCTAAACCCTGAACCCTAAACCCTAAACCCTCAACCCTAAACCGCAAACCCTAAACCCTAAACCCTATACCTTAAACCCTAAACGAAGGCACGCACAAACAAGTGTTGGGCCTCTAGGTACGGCGGAGATTGCCCTACTGTGTTGGCAGGTACGTGGGTTGCTCCAGACAGACTCACCGGAGAAGACGGAGAGCTTAGCCAAGGCAGCATGCCGGTAATTGTTTAGAGCTACATTTTTATTGTTATATCTGTTTTTGGTTGATTTAATGTTTTACTTATGTAAGTAAGGGCTTACGTTTTGGTTTGGGGTTTAGGATTTTGGGCAGAAGTTTGCTGTGTAAGCTCCTGGTTCAAGTGATGAACGAGACATTCATCTGCACCCCACGGCTATTCTAGAGGCTGCGCTTTCCTTCAACCTGCAGTAGAACTGCCCCCAAGAGTTCAACGGAGCCTTCTCAAAGCCTTTGGCCAGTGGTCGGTTCAGTATCTGCCTAAAACTCTTTCGCCCTCCGTTGAGTAGGTGTAGGCCACAAAGCCGTAGGTAAAGTGAGTTTCTGGTAGGGATTCGACAGCCAATTCAATCCGACCAGGCTCTGTGTGGCGAGGTGCAGCGAGCACTGAGCGACACGGCACGGGTCGAGTGAGCTGGCGGAAAAATGGCCCATGTTTTCTGCTCAGGTGGCAATGTCATGAGGACCAATATGGCCCCTTGTGGGCTGGCTGTGATGAGGTTACCCTAAACCCTAAACCCTAAACCCTAAACCCTAAACCCTAAACCCTAAACCCTAAACCCTAAACCCTAAACCCTAAACCCTAAACCCTAAACCCTGAACCCTGAACCCTAAACCCTAAACCTAAACCCTAAACCCTAAACCCTAAACCCTAAACCCTAAACCCTAAACCCTAAACCCTAAACCCTAAACCCTGCGGGTGCGCATGCGCAGGCGCCTGCAGGACCCGAGCGCGACCAAGGCTCGCGCTTCACTTTGGGGGTTTAGGGTTTAGGGTTTGGGGTTTAGGGTTTAGGGTTTAGGGTTAAGGGCCTTACTACAGACATGTGAAAGATGCTTGCTTCCTCTGGTGTGTTCTGGGGCACGAAAGGTAGTTGCCCCAATTTTGCGATTTGTGGTTACGGCGTGAAGACATGGTACCTTCTTTGCTCGTTTTTTTGTTGAGGTTTGCGGGGGTTTCAGAGTGC